CACACACACACACAGAGGGAGTCCTGTCTCCTCTCTGACCTCATTATCAGGTTTTCTTTTAAGAAAACAGAGACACTGTATCTCCTCTGTGCCAGACTTCATTCATAAAACAGCTGATTTAGCAGATTTCATTCTCATACTTTCACACGGTTTATTCGCTCTGACGCATCCAGTTTAAACTGTGGACACGAATCTGCTTCTAGAAATTAAATACTAGATCGTATAAAACATTAAGAAACATTTAAATTCAAATGATGTACAATAGCACATAACACGATTTAATATATTAAACGTGAAAACAGTTCGTAAACATCTTTCACAAGTGAAGTTTTATATTTTATGAAAAGGAAACTGAATTGTGAATAAACTGAAGAGACTCTGGCATCAACAGTCGTATGTTACCTCAACTAATTCTGGAAAAAGACAGAAACAAGCTCATATTATTGTTGATCTCTCACATTTGAACACACCAAGGATCCATAAAATCAATCTGACACACACACACACAGCTGCTGCAGGTGGAGTTCATCACCTGAGAGAGAATCTAATATATAAATATATATCTAATGCAGAACTTCCATTATTCTTTCTCCTTCTGTTGGATTGATTCTGATCGGAGTGATTGGTGACTTCATTGATGATCAGAACAGATTGAACGGGTTGATTGGGAGCAGGTTTTAATCAGACGGTCCTGTTCTGTTTCATTCTGCGGGAACCAGCCGGCCCTTCTGATTGGCTGCTGGAGCTTCATGTGAATGTGTGTGTGAGTGCTTATGTAACACTGCAGTGAGACTGAGGACTGATCTCCCTCTGTGTCTCTCTACCTGTCAATCACATTAAACTACAGTGATGATGATGATGATGAAGCTGCTTCACAACATGGCCAAAAGTCTGTGGACACTCCAGGTTGTAGTTAATGTTTGTGTCTCATCAACAGAGAACTCCAACATCTGTTTACTGACATCACACCCAGAATATATCAGTGTGTGTGTGTGTGTCCCATGTTAAAACTCTTATTGTACCGTTGAGAGGAAGCAGAGTTGGGTTCAACAACTATGGCTTCCTGTGCAGCTGACGACACACACACACACACAC